AGGAGTTTGAGAAATTAGGCATTTTTGTGTATTTTGTCTTGTCTTTTCCATAGGCATATTATACACAGTGGAGATGTTAATGTAAATGCATTTTTTATCCTTGTGTTTTAATTATGTCAGAAATATGTTCCAATTTTATGGCTGAAAAAAATCAAGAAATGCTGAAATATACTTTCACTTATTATCCCATCACACTGCTACATCACATTTTGTATATTAAATTAGAACCTTCCCAAAACAGCTTACAAACATTTGAGCCATTTTATGATCAGATCCGCTGCTAGACAACTTTGTTTCAATAACAGCTTGATGTATGAAATCATTTGAATGTTATGTTCTTAGTTTTATATAGGCACTTTATTATAATTTTATAAAAGTATAAAATGGTAGAAAGAAGGGAAAAATAGTAGCTAAGAGGAAACCAAGAATTGGCAGGGTCACTTGAGAAGTTCTTGGGACAGGATGTCTTCTCCGAGAGATGACCTTTGCTGAGGCAGCAGGTTTTCCTTGTATACAGAAAGCTGAGAGACAGGGTCGTGCATACTTGTGAACTGGAGAATCACTTCTGGAACTTAAGAAAGAAAGCTACTAAGTAGTACAGGGGAACAGTGAAAGCAAGGCAAATATTCGATAAATAGAGATTGTTAAGTTCATTACAAACTGATTAGTGGAAGAGAAAGAAGAATCGTTGGAGTTGTATCTTACTTGGTAAGTGACATATAGAAACAGATGGATGTAAAAGTGTGTCTAGTGGGCATTACAAAGCCCAAAGTAGAGACTGGGAGATAATCATCGGATGGATCAATTTATAGACTTTGTATTCAAATAATAGAAAACTATTGGAAGTTTTTGTTCAAAGCAGGAGCATGTTGCAATTGGTATTTTAGATATATTAACTGGTAATAACTATGTGGAAAAATCAGAGAAGGCAAGAATTTAAAGGTAGACTAGTTACAGCTCTGTTGCCATGTGCTATGTGTATTGTGCTATTTGACTGGAATGAGAGGATTAGAAATGGTGAAGAAAGGATATGTGAAATATTTCAATTCAGGCAGCATCTATTGAACATGTAGAGCAATAGGTGTGTTCAAAAACCATTTTGATAGAATTGTGGTAGATGGCTTTCTATAGTATATAATTTACATAATCAAAGAAAACACAAGCTTCACTGTGATAAACTGGGAAAGGTAAGGGTAAAAAAAAAAATCAAAAAATTTAAAAAAACCCTAAGAAATAAATAAAAAAAAAAAACTCCTGGAGTGAAAAAGTGGCACATCATGAGCAGGCAATTTATGAAAGAAGAAATGCAAATGACTAATCAATCTCATAATAATTTAAAGAATGCAAAATAAAACAATAAAAACAATATAAAAAAACAATTTTTTTT